GCTAATGCTAGAGCGGTAGCACATAATATATGTTTGTGTAAAAACCCATAATATTCTCCTAATGTAGTCACTTTAACTTATCTGATCAAATTTGTATTAACAATTGAAGTGCTGTAAGAGAAGAGTGGAATTAAAACGAGTTTATTGAGGAAGAAAGGAAATCCCTCGGTGGTTATTGTGTATTATCACAGTACAGACGCCGACTGCTGTGATCCACCGACTCACCGGTCACTGGTCCACAGTGAAGCCCAGTCCATCATGGCTGACATTAAGAACTTCCTGTACGCCTGGTGTGGGAAGAAGAAAGTGACTCCTGACTATGACATCAGAACAGCAGGAAACAAAAACAGACAGAAGTTCACGTGTGAGGTGAGTTTGGTCGGTTGACACACAAAATATCTTCACGCTTATCTCCAAACACGCGCTCCTCCGTGTGTGTGTCCAGGTCAGAGTGGAAGGATTCGGCTACACTGGGATGGGAAACTCGACCAACAAGAAGGACGCCCAGAGCAACGCGGCCCGCGACTTTGTCAACTACCTGGTCCGGATTGGGGAAATCAATGCTGCAGAAGTTCCATCTTTGGGGGTCAGTGCTGCTGTACACCCCCAGAAAAAGATGTGGTTCTGTGGGAGAGTTTGAGGCACATTTGAACATTTAGGTCCACCACAACATCGTGTTCAAACGTTCAGGCAGTGGTGGCTTAGCGGTTAAGGAAGAGGACTTGGGTCCGAAAGGTTTCAGGTTCTAACCCTAACCACACACTGCTGTGGTGAGCAGCAGTCAAGACAGGGAGACAGCCCAGTAATAATCTGATGTTTCCAGGTTCCACTTCCTGTCGTTGATCGTCCTGACGGGGGAGAAAACGACAGCATTGGAAACCTGCCCTCCAGTGGCCCCCTGCCCCCCCACCTGGTCATCAAAGCTGCCGATGGTAAATGTTAGCGGGTGTAGTCAACAATGTCACAGATATTTAGCAGCAGTAAAAAAAACAACAACCACGGAGTCAACAAACATGTGATGACTGAAGTTGACCAATCAGTGAGGGTTTCAGAACCACGTGTACTACAAATACTGTGCTTCAAGTATCTTCTTCACAAATACACTTTAACGCTTAAAAAACATCAGATGTTCGATTCCTTCTGGTAGAGGAGGAGGGCAGCAGTGGACCCATCCCAGGAGTGACAGGACTGGGTTATTCTGGAGGAGCGGCTCCTGGGAGGAGCAGAGGAGGAGGTGCAGAGTGGAGCAGAGGAGCCAACCTGAAGGAGTACTACTCCAGGAGGGATGAGCAGGAGGCGCAGGCGGTGGGTCTTCTCTCCAAACTCTCCTCTGTCTGGGCCTCCTCTGTCTGGGCCCGGTTCTGAAGCCTCTCTGTTTGACTCTCTAGACTCTGGAGTCGGAGGAAGTGGACCTCAACGCCAACCTCCACGGGAACTGGACCCTGGATAACGCCAAGTCCAGACTGAACCAGTTCTTCCAGAAGGAGAAAATCAGTGCTGAGTATAAGTACAGCCAAGTTGGGCCGGACCACAACAGGTCTGGATCCTCAGAACTTTAGTCTCTCTCACACACACACACACAAACACAAAGAAAAGAGCTTTTGTGTATGTGTGGGAGGGAGGGGTGGGAGGGGTGGTGGGGGGTGGGGGTCGATGTGTGTTTTTCTGCCAGACTGCTGAAAACCCTGAGACCTCTAGAGTGTGTTGGCTACACCACAGAGATCTCTGTTAAACCACGCCCACATCTGGCCATCACAGGCCCCGCCCACCAGCTGTATCCCTGTACACTGTAATACGCTGTACTGCAGTGTTACTGTAGTACACTGTAATACGCTGTACTGCAGTGTTACTGTAGTACACTGTAATACACTGTACTGCAGTGTCACTGTAGTACACTGTAATACGGTGTACTGCAGTGTCACTGTAGTACACTGTAATACGGTGTACTGCAGTGTCACTGTAGTACACTGTACTGCAGTGACACTGTAGTACACTGTAATACGCTGTACTGCAGTGTTACTGTAGTACACTGTAATACACTGTACTGCAGTGTCACTGTAGTACACTGTACTGCAGTGACACTGTAGTACACTGTAATACGCTGTACTGCAGTGTCACTGTAGTACACTGCAGTAACAGGTGGACCTGACCTGAGCTGACCTCAGCCCAGGGTTCAGCCCAGGGGGCAGCCCGGTCATGTGGTGGACGGCAGTGACAGCAGAGCTCACAGCATCACTGGAGACAAACATGGGACAGGGTTTAGATGCTCTAAAGTTGTCCCATGGTGCAGCTGTGGCTCAGTGGAGTCTGGGCGTGACCTCTGCTGTCACTGTTCACCACAGGGGGGAGCTGTCCGAGAGGCCGGCTCATTTACAGTCCAAATGTGAAGTCTGGCAGAGAAACATACGGCCGTCTGAGGGGACAGGAGGTGAGGCTCGTTCACTTGTGACTTTTACTCTGAAAAGCTCAGAGGAAGTGAAGCTTTGTTCTTTTCTGCAGGAGCTTCATAGCAGAGATGCAGCTGTTTGTGAAGCAGCTGGGCAGAAGTAAGTTCTTAAGTTCTGCCCCGGTTCCTCCGGTCCCTCTGATCTCCACTGAAGCGTCCTGTTTGTGCTGCCTGTGTTCTGCAGGGATCACGGCTCGAGAACACGGCTCCAACAAGAAGCTGGCGGCACAGTCGGTGGCTCTGTCTCTGGTCCGACAGCTGTATCACCTGGGCGTCATCGAACCCTACTCTGGAGTCACCAAGAAGAAGGAAGGAGAAACGGTGGGTCGGACGGTGGACCAGCGGACCGGTGGGGGGAGGGGGGGGGTGTCCAAAAGCATTTCCTGATGTGTTGTTTGACTTTGACTGATGGACACTGTCTCTCCATGTCCAGCTGGAGCCCTATGATGTCATCGTGTCCCCAGAGCTTCAGCAGCAGTTGGCCACTGTTGTCCAGGAACTGGGAGTCCAGCTCCCCCTGCAGGTGGGTGGCAACAGCCCCACAGTATATACACCGTGTGTGTGTGTGTGTGTGTGTGTGTGTGTGTTTACGGTGTACACATGCTCTGTCTGTGCAGCCCACAGACCCCAGCACCCCAGTGTCTCTGGTCCAGGGGAGGATGGCCACATTTGAACCATCACAGTGCCACCCGGTGGCTGGAGTGGTTCCCTGGTCACCACCTCAGGTCAACTGGAATCCCTGGATCAGCAGCAACATTGACGAGGGGCCGTTGGCCTACGTGAGTTTTTATTGGTTTTTTTTTGCTGGACTTTCTGCACTAACAGCAGCTCCCCCTGCTGGTACTTTTAAGGGTTGCGCTCCGGAGGTTCCATCATTGTTGATGCATTTTTTCTGAGGTTTGGTTATACTGCCCCCTCCTGACCTGTGTTGGTAGTGACGAACAGAGAGTCCTTATTGCATGTGTTGGACCGCTTCAGTTTAACAAGGTTATTCATCTTTTCAATTCAACTTTAATAACTTTTGAAATACTTCAGAGACTGATTCTACTCTGGTTTATAAACTCATTTTTCCACTTGTATTCAGAGTCAGAATAAATATTGTCAGAAATACATTTCAGAACACGTGGCTCTCTCTGCTGACCAGGTTCCTGCCCCCTGCTGTAGGCTGTATGTACTGCATGATGAGTTTTGGTGTACTTGGTGGACGTAGGTGATGATGTCACAGTTATATGTTTCCACTGACTCACCACACAAATGTTGTTCCTAGTGCACAGCGGAGCAGATCAGCCGTGACCTGGAGGAGGAGCTGACGTTCCAGCTGAACCACGACGAGAACCTGCAAAAGGTCAGTGTGTCTGTGAGCTGGAATCAACCCGTCTGTGGTCGGAGACACCCGCTGCCAGCGCCACACCCCGACCACACGGTTGACCCTCGGTGTTTGTGGTTCAGGTCCTGATGGAGCGGGACCAGCTGCCGGTCAAACGCTTTGAGCAGGAAATCATGAGCGCCATCGACAACAACCCTGTGGTCATCATCAGGGGGGCCACAGGCTGCGGCAAGACCACCCAGGTCCCACAGTACATCCTGGACCGCTACGTCAAAGGAGCGCGCGCTGCCGACTGCAACGTCGTGGTCACACAGGTGAGCGTGGAGCAGCTGCACCACTAACACCTTCAGTCCCGTCAGCCTCTGACCACGCCCCTCACTCCCCCTCCCCACCCCCGTCACCTCCTCAGCCCCGACGGATCAGCGCCGTGTCTGTGGCCGAGCGAGTGGCCTACGAGCGAGGAGAGGATCTGGGGAAGAGCTGCGGCTACAGCGTTCGCTTCGAGTCCGTCCTCCCACGGCCCCACGCCAGCATCCTGTTCTGCACCGTGGGTAGGTAAAAGGAAGGGGTGGGGGCACGGGAGGGGTGCAGGGGGGAGGGGTTGTTGGGTCGGTGTGTGTGCTTGGTGTGGTAGAAATATTTATATGATTTGAAGAAATCAAGAGTCAACCTCCGTCAGCTGTTAGAGACGACTGACTTCCTGTCAGACTGTGGTCACGTGTTGGAGGAAGTTCTCCATATATGGTCATACATCCTTTGTCCAAACCTGGTGGGGAGGACCAGTACTATGGGTCGGAGGTTCCGTGGGTCGGTGGTTCTGTGGGTCAGTGGTTCTGTTCCGTGGGTCGATGGTTCCGTGGTACTATGGGTCGGAGGTTCCGTGGGTCGGTGGTTCTGTGGGTCGGTGGATCTGTGGGTCAGTGGTTCTGTGGGTCAGTGGTTCTGTGGGTCAGTGGTTCTGTGGGTCAGTGGTTCTGTGGGTCAGTGGTTCCGTGGGTCGGTGGTTCTGTGGTCCAGCTCACTGTGTACCTGATGGACGGTGAATTTGTGTTGCAGGAGTTCTGCTGAGGAAACTCGAAGCAGGAATCCGAGGCATCAGTCATGTGATCGTTGATGAAATTCACGAGAGAGACATTAACGTGAGTCCTTTTTTTTTTCTGGACACCTGGAGGTCAGAGGTCAGAGATTCTGTCTCCTCACCTGTCCTGCGTTTGTCTGTGTCTCTGCAGACAGACTTCCTGATGGTTGTCCTCAGAGACGTGGTCCAGGCCTTCCCCGACGTCCGCATCGTCCTCATGTCGGCCACCATCGACACCAGCATGTTCAGAGAATACTTCTTCAACTGTCCCGTCATCGAGGTCTTTGGACGGACCTTCCCCGTTCAAGGTAGCAGTGAGGACAGAGTGTCTCTGCGTCTCAGTGTTGGGGCGCTGGTTCCAGGAGTTGACGATTGGCTGTGTTTCAGAGTACTTCCTGGAAGATTGCATCCAGATGACCAACTTTGTCCCTCCACCCATGGACAAGAAGAAGAAAGACAAGGACGAGGACGCAGGAGAAGACGACGTAAGAGAAGCTTTTCTTCTTCCACCGTCTCTCTGTCACCACTTGACTTTTCTTGGTTTTATTGCAGATCAACTGTAACCTGGTCTGTGGACCGGACTACACCCCTGAGACCAAGAGGACCTTGGCTCAGATCAGTGAGAAGGAGACGTCCTTCGAGCTGGTGGAGGCTCTTCTCAAGTACATCGAGACGCTGCAGGTGAATGGAGCTGTGCTGGTCTTCCTGCCGGGCTGGAACCTCATCTACTCCATGCAGAGACACCTGGAGACCAACCCACACTTTGGTACAAACACTCACTGCCCACAGTCCACCAGAGCCTCCGTCTTCACCAGCCCTGACTCTAATCCACGGCCGCTTCTGGACCTTTACCTCCACAGGAAGTTATCGCTACAGGATTCTGCCGCTGCATTCTCAGATCCCCAGGGAGGAGCAGAGGAGGGTGTTCGAACCAGTACCTGACAACGTCACCAAGGTCCAGAGACACAACCTGAACCTGAACCTGAACCTGAACCTGAACCTAAACCTAAACCTAAACCTGAACCTGAACTTTAACCTTTCTGACAACCAGTCAAACCAGTAAAGTTAACGCCATTCATTCATTTGATCATCTGACTGGGATTTGACCCAATAATAACAGAGTGGACCACATCAGATTATCGTAGAGTGGACCACATCAGATTATCGTAGAGTGGACCATATCAGATCAGATTATCGTAGAGTGGACCACATCAGATTATTGTAGAGTGGACCACATCATAATCCCACCTTTGACAGATTATTTGGATCCGTCTGTCGTTTCAGGTCATTCTGTCCACGAACATCGCAGAGACCAGTATAACCATCAACGACGTGGTCTACGTCATCGACTCCTGCAAGTAAGAAGAGAGAGAGACAGAGAGAGAGAGACAGAGAGAGTGTGTGTGTGTGTCTCCTATGTTAATATTCTGTGTGTGTGCGTGTGTGTGCGTGCGTGCGCTGCTCCTCCTCCTCCTCAGACAGCCGTAGGCTCTCTTCACCTCCCACAACAACATGACCAACTACGCCACCGTGTGGGCGTCCAAGACCAACCTGGAGCAGAGGAAGGGTCGAGCTGGGAGGGTCCGACCCGGGTTCTGCTTCCACCTGTGCAGCCAGGCCCGCTTTGAGAAGTAGGACCCCGCTGACCCCACTGACCCCCCTGACCCCGCCTCAGTGATCAGAGGTCACAGGTGTGTGTGTGTGTGTGTCCGTAGGCTGGAGACCCACATGACCCCAGAGATCTTCAGGACGCCGCTGCATGAAGTGGCTCTGAGCATCAAACTGCTGCGACTGGGAGCCATCGGACACTTCCTGTCCAAGGCCATCGAGCCGCCGCCACTGGACGCTGTGATCGAGGCTGAGCACACGCTGAGAGGTTCACACACACACACACACACACACTCTGATGTTGTGGGTCTGATTTGGCTCCTGGTCAAAAACTCCTGTTTCCTCCTCTTCCTCCTCCTTCGTCCCTGTCTCCGTCAGAGTTGGATGCTCTGGACTCCAACGACGAGCTGACTCCTCTGGGTCGGATCCTGGCCCGTCTGCCCATCGAGCCTCGTTTGGGAAAGATGATGATCATGGGCTGCATCTTCAGGTGGGTCTTCTTCTCTCTGCTCCTCCTCCTCGTCCTCGTCCTGCCTGTGTGGCCTCACCCACGTCTCTCTGTGCCTCCCGTCCTTCAGTGTGGGCGACGCCATGTGCACGATCTCGGCAGCTTCCTGTTTCCCAGAGCCGTTCATCAGTGAAGGCAAACGCCTCAGCTTCGTCCACAGGAACTTTGCCGGCGGTCGGTTCTCGGACCACGTGGCTCTGCTGGGAGTGTTCCAGGCCTGGGACGACGTCAGGTCAGGACCCCAGGCTGTGGGGAGGGAGAGGGGGCGGGGCATCAGTGTGATTGACAGCTGTACCTCTAACACCAATGAAGTTCCTCCTAGAACTGTACTGTCCACACTGGAACCGATTGAATCAGACTGTACTGTATACTGTGGTGTTGTACGTCTGC